TAATGTTATTATATGCTGTTGGGTCAGAATCGAGTCATAGCTAACCTCCAGCAGGTTTTCAGAGGCTAGCCCAGGAGAAGACTGCCCATCCTTCTCTCAAAGCTGCTGATGGACTTGAATCACGTGCCCTTTGGCTGGCAGAGCAACTCCTCACTAGGCCAACATAGTTCCCTAAAAAAAATTGCACACTTATATCCTTTATGAACAGTGATACAAAAAATTCCCACTAAACTCTAGCTAGTAGACTTCGTTGTTGTCGATTGCCTTTGAGTCAAGTACGACTCATAGCGACCCCATGAACAAAATGCCTGAAGCCTTTTTATAATTATCGACATTTATCAAAGTTCATAGAGTTCCCAGAGGCATGTTGTTTAGGAAGTGGATGCCATTCCTACTTCCAAACTTGTCTTAAACAGGAAGCTCCACCAAACTGTCCACTATGGGTAACTATTATGGCATTTGACACCCCAATGACACAAGGTTCAGCATCACAGCAATCCCAGGTTACCTCAGTACAGCACATTGACAGAAGAGTGCTATACCACTTAGAAGAATGTTCCTCCAAAATATAGTAACAACAAACTTTAAATACAAAGGCCCTCCTGGAGGTCTTATTAAGGCTAAACAAAAGGCTTAAATAAAAAAACAACCAATAGTATGTTGTTGTTATGTGCCACTGAGTTGTCTGTGATGTATAATGACCTATGTACAGAGGCTCTTAACCCTTCCCTGTCCTGAGACAGTCTCACTAATTCTGACATACCAAACAACAACTCCCACTGCCCCAGATACTCTATCAATCCATCTCATCCAGTGTCTTCCTCTCCTGTGCTTTCCGCCCACCCTTTTGAGCATTATGTCCTTCTCTTAGGACCAGTCTCTCCTGGCCACGTGCCCAAAGTAAGTGAGGCGTAACTTCAAAATCCTAGATTCCAAGGACAGACTTGGTTTCACCTTTTCCAAGAGAGACTGATTTGTTTCTTCTCAAACACCACAACTCAAGGGCATCTACTGTTCTTCTGTTATCTGTAGTCATTGTGCAGCATAATACATAAAGGAGAAGAAGACCATGGCCTGGATGAGGTGCTCCTTTCTATCTAGACTGACATCGTTGCTATTCAGCACTCTGGAGAGGACCATGACAGCAGATTTTCCCAATGCAATTCGTCTTTTGATTTCCTGACTGCTGGTGTTAAGAGTATGTGGATCCGAGTAAGCTGTAATTGCTCAATCTCTTCTCCATCTGTGGTGAGAATCTTTGTCTTCTTAATGCTGAGCTTCAATCCATATTGAAAAATACAGCCCTTGACCTTTTGCAGCAAAAGGTCTTTTCAGCAAGCAAGGTTATATCATCTGTATATCACAGGTTGTTATTAAGTCTTCCTCCATCTTGATGCCACACCCCTCCTCATAAAGCCCAGTTTCCCAGATGATCTGTTCTGGATACAGTTTGAAAAAATATGGGGACAGGATTGCATCCCTGACACACTCCTCCCTGATTTTGACCGATGCAGTGTTTCCTTTCTCTTTCAAACTGGTTTCAAACTGGGTGGCCTCCTCATACACAGCAGTAGACTTTAGCAACATATTAAAAATATATATATAAAAATCACTCTGGGATTCACATCAGAAAAACCAAAGTAATCTACCACATGTAAGAAAGAAAAGCACCAAATGATCTTATCAACGCAGAAAAGATATTCAATAACTTTTTCTCATTAAAAAAACCTCAGCAAAGTAGGAGTAAGGGAAATTTCTCAAAATAATTAAGGGAATATATGCAAAACAGCAGCATGATGGCTAAAAGAGCCTTCCATCTGAAATGAGGTTGATGCCTATCATCACTGTTTTTAGTCAACACTGAACTGGAAACCCCAGCCAAAGCAACACAACAAGAAAGAGATATAAAAGGTATCAAGATTACAAAAGAAGAGGCAAAATTATTTCTATTCATACATGAAGTGATTCTATACACAGAAATCCCTAAAGATCCCACAAGAAAACCACCAAACTAATAAAGCAATTTAACAATACAAAAAATTAGTTTAATTCTTCTATACTAACAGGTACTCTGAAAATTAAATCAAGAAAATTATATCATTTACCATAGCCCCAAACCAAGTAAAAACTAAAGAATTAGCCTAGTCAAGGATATAAAACATTTATTCAATAAAAATTATAAAACACTACTACAAGAGACTAAAATGGAAATACATTGTAAGATTATGGATAGGAAGATTTAGCATAATGAAATGTCAAGTCTACCTAAACTTAAACTTCTTATGGAAAGATACTCCAAAAAGTAAAAGAAGTATTTATAAAAAGAAAACAAAGGAGGTATAATTATTTGCTATTTGTCAACAGCTAAATGTACTATATATCCATTATAATCAAAACACCCTGGAATTGGCTCATATGAATTGAGAACCCTGAAATGAACCCAGACAAGGCAGCTTCAATGGCCACGGGGAGTTTTGATGCTAACTCAAAGGTCATGCCTCGCTGGCAGTTCAAATTCACCAGCAGCTCCTTGGGAGAAAGAGACACAGTCTCCTCCTATGCAACTGATAGTCTGGAAAACCCAATGGAGGATCAGCTATGAGTCAGTTCTGACTAGACAACAATGAGAAAGAAAGAACTAGCGACAACTGCACTTTAGTAAGAAGCTATGGTCTATTTAGTGGATCAGAAACTGGATAGTCACCTGCAGAAAAATGAAACAGGAGTCACATCACACCATACCAAAAAAACTAAGTCAAAATGGATCAAAGTCCAAAATGTTAACCCTAAATACCATAAAATTCCTGTAAGATAAAAAGATGGGGGGGGACCTTTAGGATCAAATCTTTCGTTAAAACAGGATAACAAACATTTCAACAAATGCCTGGAAAGAAGACAAATAGACAAATGATGCTTAAGTTTCACAATGCACAGTGGAATGTGCAGCCTAAAATAATGAACTGGGAAGAAAGGCCTGCTGACCTACTTATGAACATCAGTTGTGAATCCTTTCTATGAACGAGACCTATGACTCGCCTTCGAGCCCACCATCCGCAGTTGAGACTCCCGGGGTGGGGGTCCTGCCTCCTGTGATGCTCTTCCTCCTCACCCCGACCCCCGGAGGTCACGTCCCTCCCCTCACTACTCCACTTCTGGGGGGTGGGTCCAACCAGGTTCCTGGGACACCATGTCCGCCTCTAAAGAGGGCCAGGTCCAGCAACTGAAAATCATCGTGTTGGGGGCAGTACCTCCGGGAAGACTTCTTAGCTACGTGTTCTACTCAAGAAACTTTGGGAAGCAGTACAAACAAAACGATACGATTAGATTTTTTGAGGAGGATAACTTTGCCAGGAAACTTGAATGTTACTCATCAAGTTTGGGATACAGTAGGACAGACAACAGGAGGCAAAATGTCGGATAAATTTATCTAAGGAGCACAGGGAAATTTCCAGAGCTTTGAGAATTTAGAAGACTGATACTCCCTCATGAAGAAAGTGGGTGAGTAGGCAGAAACCCAGCCTCTGGTCACCTTTGTGGGTAATAATATTTATTTTGAGCATATGCGAACAGTAAAACCTGAAAAACACTTGAGGTTTTGCCAGGAAAATGGCTTTAGTAGCCACTTTGTCTCAGCCAAGACAGGAGATTCTAAAGTTGCTGCTGAGATCCTGGGAATCAAAAGAAACAAAGCAGAAATAAGACAGTCACAGAGGGTGGGGAAGGCAGACATCATAAACTACAACCAGGTCAGCCCTCAAGGAAGCTCCATGTGGCACATCAGTGAGAGCCGCTTCCCTGTGTATTGATAGTGCTGGTTGCCCTTCACCTCTGCGCGGCGGCTCAGGGACTTAGGGGAACTTGCTTTACCAGTGACCATCTCTGCAGTTAACACTTTCTTCCCAGCTCACCTGTTTCTTCAGAAAGCATTACTTCTCAACCACAGGCAGCAGCTTGAACTGGAAAGAATTCCACTTGGGACCAAACATTTTGCAAGCCAAATGCAAAAGCCTATTTCTTCTGGATTTAGACTGCTTCATTGAAAATCTGAAGCTGGTTCTCCTTGTGTCTTGATATAAAATTTCCAACCACCGTGGAAAAGTTCCAAATCCTGATCATCCTTCAGGCAATTTGCCACAGCACAGCTTCCTTCTCTTCCCTGAACTGGTAAGTGGCAAAGTGTACTTAAGAGTGCAAATGTTTAAATAAGTCAGATATTTTATCTACCTGCTAGGAAGAGGGAGGGACCTTTGCTATCTTTTTTTGAATGAAAATATATGAAGCTATATCTAAATGAAATATGTTTGAAATAAAACTGTAATCAAAATCTTTTTTTCATTTTTTAAAAGCCCTAAATTGTTTATATTTACTAGCTTATAGCTCACAAAGTAGTGAGTGTTAGGGTATTTTTCTTACTGTATCATAGACATTGTATTGTGTGACACTCAGGTTAGACAGCTTTATGGATTCTGGTAAAGGTTCAGCTCATGCTGCAGATGGAATTTCTCCTGCAGACCGCGCATGAGTCCTCCTAGGATGAGGGTAATATTGGATCGCTAGGGATCTGACTGTACCTGACTGACATTTAGATGTATCCCTCCCCAAAATAAATTTCTTTAAATTTTAAAAAATGAATAAAAGGGAAATGAAGTGAGAAAAAGAGAAGAAAGGAAAGATAAGAGTCCTAAGATATTAGAACTATCAGTAACTGACACATTATCAAAGCTTGGTTTCTCACACACAGAAGGCACATTAAAAATATCAGCTGGGCTGAATCAAACCCTTCCATACCCAACCCTTGCCATTTTGTAGAAGGATGAGCCCAAACACCATAATGGAAAAGGAATCTCTTCAGTCCACAGAGCTCTTTCAGCAGAAAGTTGGGTCTGGATATAGCACTCTGCCTTCTGATCTGGGTTTCTGTCTAAGCTCTGTGAAAAGAAAGGAGTCCAGGGCCCTGCCCTATGGGCACCCCTCCCTGAGAGCAGTTAGCAGGGCCATACCTCCTTAGCAAGCCTGCGCGCCTCATAGTACGGCCGGGCCTTCTCGATGCAGCTCCCCAAGTGGGAGCCCTGTGTGTTGAGCTTCCTTGCTGACTCCTGCAGGATTCTTCTATAGGTAGTTCGGGCCTCCTGGTAAAGAGAAAACGATATGGACTGAGGGAAAACACATACATGGGTCCTAGACCCATCCTCCTGCCACTATACCAAACATGGAAAGGGAAAGACCAACCCAAAGATGGGAGAAAAACGAGCAACACTCACATCCAGCTGTAGCTCCACCTGGTTGATCTCCTCGCTGGCCTGGTTCAGATGTTCCAACTCCTCCTGCAATAGAGAGGTGGAGAGTTAGAGGAGTTAGGAAGGACACAGCATCTCTGTGAACTATGCAGAGGTGGGAGAGCTGTCCACATGAAGCCTCCACCTCAAACAGAGGAAAGTTAGAGAAATAGGAAGAGGAGACATGAATGCCTCTTTGTCAGAAACCTAATATGTAGTCTTGTATCATCTGCACATTTCTGTTTGTGTTGTTATTGTTGTTGTTGTTATGTGCCGTCGAGTCGCCTGCGGCTCATAGCGACCCTATGTACAACAGCCCTAAACTCTGCTCTGTCCTGTGCCAATCGCACTGTCTCTGACACTCCCATCCCAATTATCCCAGTCACTGAATCAATCCACCTCATAGAGGGCCTTCCTCTCCTGCGCCGTCCCTCCACCCTCCCAAGCATGATGTCCCTCTCCAAGGACCGGTCTCTCCTCACTACATGTCCAAAGTATGTTAGACGGAGCCTCAGAATCCTTGCCTCCAAGGAGCCACCCAGTTTAACCCTTTCCAGGACAAATCTGTTTGATAATAATGGGTGACTAGAATGCAAAAGTCAGGAACAAAGAAGAAGATTCAGTATTTGGAAAACATGGACTCGGTGACAGAAATGGAGCGGGAGAGAGAATGATAGAATTTTGCACAATCAATGACTTATTCATAGCAAATACATTTTTTAAGAGACATAAACGCAGGTTATATACCTGGATTTCACCTGATGGTATGCATAGGAATCAGATTGATTACATATGTGGAAAGAACCGCTGGAGAAGATCAATATCAGCTGTGAAAACTAGGCCAGGAGCTGACTACGGAACAGACCAACTACTCATATGCAAATTCAAACTGAAGCTGAGGAAAATTAAACCAAATCCAAGGCAACCAAAATATGACTTTGAGTCTATCCCACCTGAATTTCAGAACCATCTCAGGAACAGGTTTGAGGCTTTGAACACTAATGAGCGAAGGCCAGATGAGTTGTGGGAGGATATCAAGGGTATCATCCAGGAAGAGTGCAAACGGTCATTGCAAAGACAGAAGAGGAAGAAAAGAACAAAATGGATGTCAGAAGAGACTCTGAAGATTGCACTGGAGCACAGAGAAGCCAAAGCACAGGGAAGAATTCAAGATACTAAAGAGTTGAATAGAAGATTTCAAAAGGCAGCACGGGATGACAAAGCAAAATATTACAATGAAATATGCAAGGAGTTGGAGTCAGAAAATCAAAAGGGCCGAACTCGCTCAGCATATCTTAAGCTCAAGGAACTGAAGAACAAATTCAAACCTCGAGTTGCTATAATCAAGGATGCTTTCGGCAGAATGTTAAATGATCCAGGAAGTGTTAAAAGAAGATGGAAAGAATATACTGATTCACTGTATTGAAAGGAATTGGAAGACACAGAAGAATTCATGAAACAACATATGAGCAAGAGACTATGGTGATGAAAGAAGAAGTTCAGGCTGCTTTGAAGGAAATGGCAAAAAATAAGGCTCCAGGAATAGATGGTATACCAATTGACCTATTTCAGTTAACAGATGCTGCCCTGGATGTGCTCACCAAGCTGTGCCAAGAAATCTGGAGAACAACCACTTGGCCAACTGGCTGGAAGAGATTGTTATTTGTTCCTATCCCAAAGAAAGGTGACCCAACAGAATGTGGAAACTACAGAACAATCTCACTGATTTCACTGTTTGTACTAGGTCTTAAAATTCTCCTTTTAGAAATGAAGAAATTAAAGTCAGGAAGACAGCTTATGCACAAAGTGGCAAAGAAGCCCCATCCTCCTCATCAGCCTGTACCACCTTCCAGGAGGAGAGTCTCTAGGACACAAGCCCCAGGCCAGAGCATTGCTCACTCACTCATCAGTCATCTGTTGGGCATTTACCCCAGGTCAACATATTAGAATTGATGGAGAGCTGTGCTCTCCATGTTTATGAGAGAGGGCAGTAGAATTATCTATGGAGGCAAAGGAAGGTTGCAGTGAGATGCCTGGGACATTGGTTCCCAGGCTGTAACTAGACAAATACATAGAAAAGCAGCAAGAAGGGGAGGGAATGGAGACTCCAAAAGGAAAAGGGGAGCTCAATGCACACAGGTTGACAGTAAGTAAATAGTGTGTCTGGGGTACAGGAAAAAACATAGCAGCCCTTTTCCCCATGGCAGCAGATACAACCTCAGAGCCTGGTGCTGTCAAATCTGTGTTTTAGGAAAGAGTAATGTGAAAAAGTATAGGAGCTGGCAAAAGATAAAAGCGGAAGGCTGTTTGCAGTATTCCAAGAGGAAAAATATAATAACAGGGAATAGGGAGGAGAAGGCAGACCTTGGAAAAAAAATTCTTATCGTGAAATCATGAGGGCTTGCTGATGACTTAGGTTGAGACAGGAAAGAGTGTGGGATCTGGGAATCCTCTTGGTATGTTCAGGCAGTGGGGTGGCAGTAGCCCCAAGTACCTGTGCAGCAGATCCTATAGGAGGAAGGGAGATAGTGGGTAAAAGACACTAGACATGCTGGGTTGAATGCCCACTGGCTCTGAGCCTGGAGAAGGAAGAAGGAAAGCGTCATCCCAGGCTTTTTCTCTAACAGCAGAAAGCAGGAAGGAATACTGACACTTAAGTTACCCTCCTTTGCCAGAGAAAGCAGTCAAGGATGCTCCTAAGAAAGAACTCTGGTTTATGCCAGGGGTCCTGCCTAGGAAAACACTTGAGGCTCAGGAATAGTATTCACCTCCACCTCCAAGAGCCCCACCAACTCTGGCCAGGCCAGTAGGACCTGCACAGGGTCTGCCTGCTGACCACCACCTACACATGACCTGCAATCCTCAGAAAAACAACAATCACTTCTCCTTCATGTGGCTTGTAATAATGACAACACTCTCAACAATTTAGTGAGATGATCAGACCAGGATGTATAATTCTCCATTAACTATTCTATCTTATATCTCTCTCTGATGGTAAGAAGCTATACACAGTTCAAATTCACCAGCTACTTTGTGGGAGAAGGATGGGAAATCTCCTCCCGTGTGATTAACTACCTCTAGAAATCCACTGAAGGGTCAGTTATGGATCAGCTCCAACTCGATGGTATACAACAACTACTTTTGCTAGAAAGATCTGAATCAGCAAACAATATTTAATTATAATGAAAGAGAAAAAAACAAAACAAAAATACCTTAAAACAAAGATAGAAACAAAATGGAAGCAATTGTGAAAGCATCAATAGCTTTGGGAGATCCACAAATCTGGCTTAAAACTTTCTACAATAAAATTGTGTTAATAGATCAGTGGCCATCTAAGGCACAACCACTAGTTTCTCCTTATCTGGAGCAAAGAAGAGTGAAGAAAATCAAAGGTGCATGGAAACAATTAGTCCAGAGCACCAACAGTCCTTGTGAGCTTATTTTCCTTAACCCAGAGACCCGAGAACTTGATGATGCCTAGCTATCACTGCTAATCACTTTATATGGATCACAACAGAAAATCCTGGCTAGAGTGCAAGATATATAGAGAACAAAACTAGCAATCACAACTGCCAGACTTACCCGTCTGACTAACACGGGTAGAACCCTTGATATTATGGCCCTTAGCAACCCTTTGAGACTAGAACTGATTTCACAACTGTGGTACAACTTTTGGCCAAGCAACAGACACATCTATAAGGTGAACAATAACACCAGGGAGAGTCTCAACACTGAGAACAATGAAACCAAATCACAAGAGCAGCATTTTCCCAATGATAAAATTCAGCTGGTGGGAAAGGATGGAGAAATGAAGAAAAACAAGAACCACAGAGAGATAGGAAGAGTTATGATACAGGGTGTGGATTGTCATCTCCTTCTGTGCCAGTTGAATCTGATTCAACAGTACACACACACACAAAAGGTATTTTTGTTCAAAATGAAAAAAATTATTCCTTAAAATACAAATCACATATGGAATTTTTTATATGATTTTTAAATTTTCTAGTCTGTTTTTAAAAGGGCAAAGTGAACTGTTAACATTACTTCATTTAACCCAATTATTAAAAATATTATTTCAACATATATATATTCAACACAAAGAATAAGTAACCCCATCTTTCATATTTTTTCTGAACTAAATCTCTGAAATCCTGTGTGTATTTGACCTTTACAGCAGCTTCTGGACCGTGCTGGTTTAGAAGCTGATGTACATTGGCAGCATCAGCTATCCCCACAGGAAAAATGACTTGAAGGCTCTTGGCAATGGGTTCAAGCAGGATCCTTAATATGGGATCCACACCCTCAATACACCTCAAAGCAATTAAGAAGCCTTTTGATGGTGAGGATTCAAATTCCAGGAATGTTGGTAGGTCTGCCCCTCAAAGTCACTGTTCTTTCTAAGACAAGTAAATGGACAGTAGCCTGGGAAAAGGCCAATAGGAATGGCAGGGGCAGAGATGGCTAGGCTGGAAAAGACCCAAGGAAAAGCTGGGCATTATATTCCACTTGGGCAGCTTCCCCAGAGACTCCTGCCGCTTGGTGAAATGGAATTTTAAGTCAGCACACATTACCCATCAATGAGCCAGCAGCCAGAAAAGTGACCTTCCCAGAACACACCGGGTACATTCCCAGGATGCCAGGTCACTGAGCTAAATGACTGTCAGTAAGTGGGGAGAGGAAGGGGCAGGAGCATGAATCAAGAACTAGGAACTAACACTGTCCTTTTGTGGTCAGGATAAGAGGTCGGACTTCAGAATAAGAAGGTAAGTCTTAACAATAACTTGTGTATTCGCATGTCTAAGATCAAATTATTTTAGACATCGCAAAGAGTCTACGTGATGAGAGAATGTCATAGGAGACTGTCCTGAGGTGATGTTGCCAGCTTGCTTTCTTCCAACTTCCAGAGAAATCCCACCAGATAATGTGGGTACAGAGCTGCCTGCTTGCCAAGGAACCACATTCCAACTTCAGAAAAAGCCTCACCTTAAGGGCAACCTCTTCTGAGAACTCCAGAAACTAGAAGAGCAGGGCACCTGCCTTTAGAATATCCCTTGTCAGGTGACCTCAGCCCTGTCTATACATTAGAATCACTTCATATTCCACCTAGTCCAGAACTCACATGTCTGGAAACAAGTCTGGAAGGAGGTGTCTGGGGAATGCTGATGTTTCATGAGTAGAAATCCACTTTTTCCATTGAAAACCAGAAATATAAACATGCATTTACAGCGACATGGTGCTATAAAAACACACAAAAAAAAAATTAAATTAAAAAAAACTAAAAAAAAAAACCAAACATACAATTCACTAGAGCGAGCACTGGTAGCCTAATGGCAAGAAGCTGCACTGCAATCCTGAAGGCACTTGGTTCGAATCCACCAGCTGTACCACAAGAGAAGGATGGGCAATCTCCTCCAATGCGCTGAACTGACTCTGAAAACCTGCTGGAGGGTCAGCTATGGGTCAATTCTGACTCAATGGTGCACAATAACATACAGAAAAAGGACCTCAAGTCCAGAAGAACTAAATGCTGCCTGTCTACCTCTGCGAAGAATACTCCTTATATCAGATTCCCTCTCTTTCATGGCAAGCTGACTGCTAAGACCAGCTCTGGCCTAGCCACGAACTGTTGTTAAATGAGCAAAGTCACAACACCACCACCATTCCTCCCTACTGCAACCCCTCATTTTTCACACCACATTGTGCAGGTTAGCAATAAAAATCTGATCTACTCTTCTCGTACCAGTACAAGGTCAGTAAAGGCAAAGTGAACCATATGATGCCTCAGTTTATTCTAACCCTCATAGAGTTCTGGTAACTTAGTACTAAGAAACTGCACTGTAATCCCAAAGGCAAGCAGTTCAAATCCACCAGCTGATCCACGGGAGAAGGATAGGCAATCTCTTCCCATGTCATTTACTGGCTCTGAAAACATACCAGAGGGTCAGCTATGGGTTAGTCCTGACTCAATGTCACACAACATCATAGAGTTAATCCAACAGAATTGTCTGTGATGATGAAAATTTATCTCTATTCTGGTGATACAATACCAGAGAATTTGCATTTTATATTTTATCTCATTTTGATGAATTTTTGTTTTAGAAGCCACAGGCAGATAATGCTTACTTTTTTAAGCAGTGTAGCATCAGAATGACTTTTTATAATATTGTCTTCACCACGCTGAGACACGAATAAAATATATAGGCACAAGAGAGACTTAAAAGAGACTGCAGTGGATTTATTCCTCTGAAGCAGAATCAAGGAATAGTGTAGGAAGGAGCATGATGTGAGTAACACAAGTTCCCCAAGAAACAGTGGCCTCTTTTCCAAAGAGTAATTTATAAACTTAGAACAGAATCTGCATAAGAACAAAGCTGAAGGGAGTCATACAAATAACTGTAGCCAATCTCTCAGAAAAGGAAACTCAAGCAAGGTAACATAATTAGCTTTGAAAATTATAAATCATGTAGCTGAAAGGTGCTTGAATCTCATCCCACAGCTGTTTTCATTACAACTTGCTTCCTCAGTAAACAAATCTATGGAATCAGCAGGAGAAATTGAGTTGTTCTCAATGCAATACCCACAAGGCAAAAGAGAAATAAATTACTGACATGTCAGAAAGCAAAGAATTGCTTCAGCTCCATTTAAGTGTAGATACAGCTCAAGAAGAGAACACACACACATCTAAAAACTCCCACCAAAAGGGTAGGGCTGATGCTAGGCCCAAGTCTGTTATCTTTTCTATTTGCTGGAGTTATCCAATAAAGGTTTGAAAAATCCAAAAAAGCACAACCTAAGACTACTCACCTGCATAGAGGGATGAGTCACTTTTTCATTAGAATCATGGAGTTGCTACCAGATCAAATGACTAGGACCCCGAAAACACACAGGAACAATCTGAACCCCTGCTCAACCAGTTTTTCCAGAGAGAGCTTCCCAGCCCAAAGTCCCAGAATATTGTACCTAGCCTCAGCTTTGCATATCCTCCAAAACCTGCCTCATTTCCTCACCACTATTCCTTGGTCTTTTTCACAAAGGTATGCTTGTCCTACCAAACAGAATGTAAACATACTCAAGAGGTAAACCAGTTTTCCCACTTCTTTGGTATACTCACACAGCATCCTGAGTTGTACTAAGGACAGATCATGACTGACACAGATCCCTTTGACATACAGGAGTTCCCAACAAGCCACCACATAATACCATCTTTCTAAGTTTATAAGACCTGAAAGGTCTCATTCTTATAATCATGAAATTCCCAAGGAAGCACCAACATAATCGTATCAGAGAGAAAAAGATTCAATCAGTCTCAAAAATGCCTCCAAGCCAGTTATTACCCCTCACATACCACTCACATTGCATGAGGGAATAGTGTCCTCTGCTTATCTGGAAAGAAGAATGGTTCTAAAGTGGATACCTATTCCCTCCTTTGATCTAAATGTGCTTCCCTGGATGTGCTACCAAATTATTGCTTAACTTCTTCAATGAAGCTTCACCAGTGTACTCTAGACACAATGACCAGAATGTTCTCTGCCCTTCCATGTGCACTTCAGCCATGCAACTCCTTTGGTTCCTGTCACTCCACTACACTGTAATGATTTGCTGACAGACCCGTTTTCCTTTCCTGTCCTGGAAGAAAATAAGTCTAATCTCTCAGTCTTCTAAGAGCTCTTCACAAAGGTTGGATTCTGTGTGTGCTTCCTTTGTTTCCCCTCATCACTCAGTCTCCTCACCTGTATTCTAGGATCCAGTTCTTCTTCCTCTCTTGGGGATAATTTGGATTCAGTGCTGTTGCTTCCACCTCCTCCAGGCTCCTCTGCAACTGGGTTCCTAGGAACTTCATCCTCTACAACCTCAGGCCGAAGCTCTCCCTGTGGGGTCTCCCGCCCACCTGGAACCTGCCTGAGCTCAGCCATGCCTACCAAGAGAGGGCAGAGCCCTATGCACAAGAGAGGATTGACATGCTGGGAGCAGGGCCCCAGCTTGGGGCTTCCTGGCCTCTCAAAGTTTTCTCTTGTCAAAAAAGCAGAAAAAGGGGTCACAGGAATAACCTCCCAACTGGTTAGAGACTGAGATTCAAACTGTCAGTGCGATTCCTAAAGAGATGGCCTTCTTTGGAAAAAAGTCCTTCCCTCCTTGAAACTGGGAGTCCACCAGGTGAGATCCGGAGCAACAGCTCCAAGGCAGGAGGTAAAGGGGGTCTGGATCCTGGGTCGAGGCCTATAAAGAGGAGCACCATTCGGGAGGGTGGAGGCAGGCGCCTCCAGGTTGTGGTGACAGCTGGATTAAAGGCTAGGCCTGAGCACAGGCAGCTGGATGAGCGTCTCTGGGGAGCTGTAGGGAAAACAAAAGCCAAGTATATGGTCATGCCAGCATCAGAACCTATGCAAATAGCATAATCCATCACTTCAGCTTAAGGACTCCACTCTTCAACCTCTGTATTCCAACTAGCTACATCTCAACTTCTTTCCTCAAACCTCAAGGTCTTTGGATTTAGCGCTTTGCCCAGTCTTGCCCCTCCCCCACCAGCGCCTTTCAGACCTCCCGCCGTGCTTCCACGCCCTCCTCCAGTCCCCCTTCCTTTGGTCCACACCACTGCATCCTCGTCCCTCTTTGCAAATCACCTTGTAGCCCCCTGCCCCGCCCCACCTCTCTTCTCTCTCCAACCCTCCAGAGAATCTGAACCTCTTGCCTCCAACTCTCATTCAATCCCCAGGGTCCTGCCTCCAACCACTTTACACAGACGGGTGTATATGTTATCCTTTTCAGGCTTACCTCAGTTTACCTTCCAGCGAGCAGAGTTCTCTAGCAGCAAACAATCTTCCCCCTCCCTCCCCGCAACAAGCTAGTCCAATCAAATGCCACAGGACCAAGAGGAAGCGGAAATGCATCATCACTTAACCACTCCCGTCCACTCTTCCCTCCCTCTTACTCTCGTGTGAAGCAGGTCAAGCTAGGATTCCCCGGTGCCCTCCCACGCCCAGCTTTCTTTTTCCGTACAGAATGGTGCCCCACAAAGTTTAAAGCCGCCTTCTTTACCTCGATTCTATTCTTTGCCAAGACTAATAAGAAAAATTTCAAATTAAGCCCTCGTGATGATAAAAATTATAGTGAGGACGTGAAGTGTAGAGGCCACAGTGAGTAGGGGAAGTGCTAGAAATGGAAGAGAATTTGAGTCAAATTCGCCCAGAGAATGCTGCCATCTTGTTTACGGAGCTTCCGAAGCCGGAAAATAGCTTCCGGTGACGGCAAGGGAAAAGTGGCCGCAGCGGCAGACGAGAGGTGCGGGTTCTGCGGCGGTCCTTGTATTCTGCTGTGGTCGGAAGCGACGTGGAAGAGTTTTTCTCACCTTAGCGAAGTCAGCGGGACTCCGAGTAAACTTTGATGTGGGTTCGAATCCACCATCTGCTCCACAGGAGAAAGATGGGACTGTATACTGAAAGTCGTTGCAGTTGGGTTACTGATGACACCGTGTTGTGTATTAATTAGCAATGTGGTTTAAATGAACTAAACTTGTACACTCAGTGCACAAAAGCCTTCGAAGAAGAGAAGTTTCTGTCTGCTGCATCGTCTTCCCCCTGACATTCTAAGAACCAGAACAGGGCGAAGAACTGACAGTTGAGCAGGACCAGAACTAAGAGAAAAGGCTTTAAGATTGAACTTTTTGTTTTTACAAAAGTGCTGGCTTCCTCAGGGCAAATGGGATCACTGGATCCCTATCCTCCATCCCGGAACCCCTCCAAGAATGGCCACATTTTAAAAATTATGAAGGCGTAAGAAGGAAATCTTTTTCCTAAAATAATAAAAGTTTATTTTTTAAACATTTTGTTCTATAAAATTGGATATTGGCTCTCCCCCACCCCCCAAGAAAGGACTTCTCACTCCAGTGAGTCAGCAAGGCTCTTAGTCATGAGTAAACATACAGCTCTGATGAGGAACACCACCATTCTGGTCTTCTAGTACATTCCTTTTGTACAACGTGCCTTATGGAAAACATGAAAACTACCTTTTGAAGTCATAAATTATTTGTCCTCTGCTATTTACTGAATTTTGGAGAACTGTCATTTAATTTTACTCACCATCTTCTGCCTGAATATTTCACCCTTCCTTATTTGTCATTACCCCGTTATCTGTCATATTTATACTGATTGCCCATGTTCTTCTCCCCGTGAGCTCAGGCTTTACTGTCAGGAGTTCTGAATTATTATTTATTGGATTTTGTGGGAAAATACCATGAATACATATAATACCCAGATTATAATTTTTATAAGATTATTATATAATGCCATGTCTCCACTGATCTGGGTTAATCATGTGTTAAGTATTAATACCACCCAAAAGTTTTTCTGCTAAATTTGCCCAGGAGGAGGTACAAGTAGGAGATCTGTGTACTGGTTTAACTTCGGTTGTTTCATTGAAGCAAGCATAACTAAAAGCCTGTTGCCATGGAATCTGTTCCAACTCATGGTGACCCCAAAGTGCAAATCATCTGCATTATATATGGATGCACTAGAAGCCAGTAGACATGATTGAAAGATTCTTCTTGAGCTGGAATGAAATTAATATAGAATTCAGTATCAGTGCAGCAATACAGTAGCTAGGGACCTATAATAACAGTAAGGAAAAATCCATGTTTAGTTTTATTTCGTTTAATCAATTTTCATTTGAGCAATCACATGTAAGCGTGGCCCCCTTGTTGAACAATGCAGTTTTAGAGTTTATTCTTTCTATATAATCTCTTTCAGCTATGTAATTGAATTTCCCATCTTCAATGCAAAACAAAACAAATACCTTTCAGCCTCCACTGTGGTTTTATCTTATTTATACTTCCTCACTTGTCTTTTACTTCTGCACCCTGGCTTTTGCTCCTGTCAATTCATGGAAATTGTTGTTGTTATGTGCCACCGAGTCGCTTGCGACGCATAGCAACCCTATGTACAAGAGCCCTAAACGTCGTTCTATCCTGTGCCAACCTCACCCTCTCAAACACACTCATTCCCACCACTCCACTCACAGAATCGGTCCATCTCATCGAGGGTCTTCCTCTCCTGCGCCGTCCCTCCACTCTGCCAAACATGATGTCCCTCTCCAAGGACCAGTCCCTCCTTGCAACATGCCCAAAGTATGTCAGACGGAGCTTCAGAATCCTTGCTTCAAGGAGCATTCTGGCTTCACCCTCTCCAGGTCAGAGCTGTTTGTTCTCCTAGCAGTCCATGGTATATTCAACATTCTTCTCCAGCACCACAGCTCAAAGGCATCAACTCTCTGTCATCCCTCTTCACTGTCCAACTCTCTGATGCATAGCACGTAATTGCAAAGACTATAGCCCAGATCAGGCACATCTTAGTCTCCAGCCTGATATTGTTGCTCTTCATTACTCTTGAGAGATCCCTCACAGTTGACTTTCCCAAAGCAATCTGTCTCCTGATTTCCTGGCTGCTGTTACCAAGAGTGTTGACTGTGGAACCAAGTAAAAGAAAACTGTTAACTATCTCAATCTCTTCACCATCTATACTGATGCTGCCAGTGGTGAGAATCTTTGTTTTCTTAATGTTGAGCTTCAATCCATATTGAAGACTGCAGTCCTTGACCTTCTGCAGCAAGCTCTTCAGGTCCTCCTCAGTTTCAGCAAGCAGGGTTGTGTCATCTGCATAATGCAGGTTGTTGATGATTCTTCCACCAATCCTGATGCCACATTCCTCCTTGTACAGCCCAGCGTCTCAGATGATCTGTTCTGAATACAGATTGAAAAGGTTATGGAGACAAAGTACATCCCTGACGGACCCCTTTCTTGATTTTGAACCATCCAGTGCCTCCCTGCTCTGTTCTGACAACTGCCTCTTGGTCCAAGTATAGGTTTCACATTAGCACAATCAAGTGAAATTACAGAAATGATTTTACTATTATCTAGGCCATTGATTTGGAAGCAGGAGTGGCATCCACTCCACAGTAGCTTGCTTCTGGAAACCCTTTGAACCTGGAGAAAGGACAAAAGCTATACACCAGGCCCTTGATATTTCCATATCACTTACATTTGATTTAGACTATTTCTCTGTTTTCCTTTGGCTTCTACAGTCACTGTCATGGGTTTCTTCTTACCTTTTAAGCCTACTGATTCATACTTTGTTGCAATATGTGCTTATTGGGTGTTCACGGGATTGTTTGATGATGAGAAAAATTTTGTCATTTTTATTGATATTGCCATCTTCATTGACCTAAACTAAATATATACACTTAGTGCACAAAAGCCCTTGTAGAAGAGGAATTTCTGTTTGTTGCCTAGTTATTTAACTATCCGTTCTAAAGCTTCATTTCCAAGTTCAAGTGATGGAATATACTATCCTAATTCCATTTAGTATGTGGTGCTCACTTATAAATCTAACTTTTACCTTCAAACTAACTAGACAACAACCCAGAAATATGTTTTACCTTAGAACCTTTATGTCTTAATTATACAACCTTTCCTCCCTTATGGTTAGGTTCCAAAGACAATATTCTTAAAAGTTAAAAAAAAAGGATAATTATTATATAACTTCCAGATTATATCCTTGCCAAACCACTAAGGATCGTGTAGCTGAGGTGAGGTGACACATAACCATCACAGCCAGTCTTATTCTCACCTTAGACCTTGGCATTTGTTACTGCCAGACATGGGTCTTTAATGTGCAAAACAGGTAGTAAATTTTCCACTGTTGTTATAACAGCAAAATGTCAGATAACACGATAGTCATAAGTAAAGATGTATTAATAGTAAAAGTTTCTTTACCCATATTATATGCAAAGCACATTAATATCTTATGCTGCTTTTTAGTGCTGGTAGAGAACTATTCCATTGATTTCATGACCCACTCACAGTTTAAAACCCTTGTTTTAAATACCACTGTTACCCAGGCTCTAATGTTAGCCACTAAACAAATCACTCATCCCATCTTCCCTCAGTGCCCCCAACAAAGTGTATGACTCCAATTCCTGCCCATGACAAATGTTCCTTCTTCAGAGCTCTTAAATCCACATAGATTCCTCACAGATCACATCCTGGGAACTAGTAGTCTCTCAGATACCGACTCTCACCAGGTACAAAATTTATTTCATTCCTTTTTGCCTCAAATCAGATCCTTCTGTTTTTTACTATGTTGGTGAATGCTTCTAAAATTGACCCAGTTGCCCTAGGGAGAAACTTGAAAGGCAACCTAAATGATACTCCTCTCAAGGCTCTGTATCACATTATGAATTTCACATTTATCCTTCCTCTTAAATCTTCGCCATTGCTTCAGCTTAGACCTTCCTGACTGGACCATAGATAATGCACTAGACCATTCTTTTAAATTAGCTCTAACCATCAGAACTTGCAGCAATGATGAAAATTTCTATAGTATACTGTCCAATATAGTAGCTATTATATATGTTTCCCTTTTGAAGGCTTAGAATGCAGTCAGTAGAACTTAGGAACTAATTGATTGCTTGTATATAATTTGTATAATATAGCAATATGTACTAGTGGCCACTGTATTGAACATAACACCTCTACAGGTGTACTTCCTTCTAATCACTGGGACAAATAGGTACCCAACTCCTGTTGCGTAAGCTAATGAAAGAAATATGAATATACAAAAGCCACACCAAAATTTTAGCAACATCATCAATTATTAGAAGGAAGTCCTGATGATACTTTGGTTAAGTGTGTAGTCTTTGTTGTTATGTGCTGTAGAGCCTAGACTTATAGTGACCCTATGACCAATGGCTCTGAATGCTTCTCTATCCTAAGCCTGTCTCACTGGCTCTGACGCAATTACCCTCATTACAACAATTACTATGTCAATCAATCTCATTTGAGCTCTTCCTCTCCTGCACTGTCCCTCCAGCCTTCCAAGCATGATATCCTCCTCCAAGGACTT